TTGTCATTGTTGGTTAGTTGGCCTGGGCCAGGTTCGAACCTGTGGCTGATGCCTTAAATACTGTGCTACGGGTGCTGAGCCCACAACACATTTTTCTAAGAAAAGCAGGTTTATAAAGCACTATGGTATGCGTTCTCCAATTTTTATTATATTTGAATTTGTTTCATGAAAAAAAATCTAGAAATATCTTAAGTCAAGAGTTAACGAGGAAAATAAAGAAGTAGGAAAATGTAGTAAGAATCACTCTTAGGGTAAGAGTAAAAACAAGAAACCAGAGAGGAAGAGAGAAGTGGTCCCTGTGTCAGCAACTCTGGAGGCTGGGTTGGCGTGAAATGCCATCTCAGAAGTGGCAATGAGCAAGCCTGGAAGAGGCAGGAACCTGGCGCTCCTGTTTGAACACTTAGATTAGAACCGTGGGTGAGAGGGGAGGGTAGAGGAGGGGTGGGAAGAGCAGGGATGGAGAGGAGCGTTTACACACGCTCCTCCCCACCGGTCAGCAGGGGCAGCGCGCAGCCAGGTGACTACCAGTCCGGCAGGCGTGAAAGGCACTGGGGAGGAGGATGGGGGCGGGGCTCCCCATGAGAGCTCGCCCTGCCTCTCCCTGCCCCTCCCTACCCCCCATCCCTCCCTGCTCCCATCTACGGCTTGCTCTGAGTTTCTGGAAAGCAGTCGATTTAGGACTATGGACCTTTCTGGAACAACAGGCTCAAAATCAATGCAGATGAACAAAACCACCCGCTTGCCTGGCGAGCGTACACTGCAAAGGGTGGGTCCCCTGCACGGTGATCAGCCCCTGGTCCGCAGCCTTTTGGGAGCACTGCGGGAGGCACGGGGGTCTCCAGGGAGCGGACGGGCGGCTGGCGGGATATTTGGAGCTCGCCACAGGCACCCACACAAACACACAGACAAGCGGTCCCTGTGCCGTCTGTGCTGCTGCAGAACGCGCTGTTCCCCGGCCCTCGGCCTGACCACACAGGGCGGGGGTCGCCACCGGGCAACAGGGCCGGAGGCGCCCGGCCCAGGCAAGCGAGCCAGGGAGCTGAGGGGAGGGGGTGTGACCCACCCCCTGCTCTCAGTGCAGATATGTGGTTGAGGATTTAGAAGCTTGTGGGTGTGATTTGCGGAGAGGGTTGGGCTGAGGGGGCAGTGAAGTGGGTGGAGAGCCTCAGCGAGCGCCGGGACTGACACCAACATCAGTGCTCAGAGCTGCAGTGAGCCTCTCCTGAGATCCCACACCTTGGGCCTCTCTTTACCTTAGAAAAGAAGGAAGGAGCAGCAATCTCCCCACTCCTCCCCTCCAGTGGCCTGGCTGTACACCCTGTCCCCAAACTGCTCATGTTAATGCCAACAGATCCATAGAGAGAAGCAGCAACCGTCTCTAATATAGTAAGAGGGAAAGAGCATGGCTTTCAGCTCAGCTAGCCCTGGGTTCAGATCCTTAGTAAATGACCTCATGTTCCTCACCTTAAATAAGATTAATAAAGTTACTGGAAGATTAGATGGAAAACGCACATAAATTGCTTACATGAGCCCTGACACATAGTAGGGCTCCGCAAATGTTAGCTATCACCACCGTCAGCATTACTATGATTATATACTTTGAAGGCCCACCTGGGATTATGCCATATGTGCAAAAACATATTTTCCATGAAACTGATGAAGATTAAGCTTTAGTATCTGCTACTTTCAGGGACCCCTTCCAAGTCTTTGCATCTAATTTTGTACTGTTTTTCTTGAAGACTGCCCTCCTCCCTGAGTTTTATAAACTGTGGGCTACAGGAAGCCTGAGTATGCACTTAGCACAGGCTGGGAGTGGTGAATGAATGAGGCAGTGGATGGGAAAGGCAGGGAAAGACATTGGAGAGAAGCAGCCAAGAGGGTCCTATGGATAGGAGGGAGGAGAACACTCACCCTGGAAGAGGGGGCAGATCTTCCTCCAGGCTGTGATGCTTCCTTGGCTGGTGTATTGACCTAGTGCCACCTCTAAGAAGAATACCGGGATGCCGCAGGCAAAGAAGAAGATTAAGTAAGGGATGAAGAAGGCTCCTGTGGAGGAGACAGAGACAGTGGCTGAGCCACACCCCCAACTCTTCCTCAGCCTCACTCTTTTCAGCCCTGTCCCGCAGACTTACCCTCCTCACACCTCCAAGGGCCCAGTTGCCTTCCTGCTAACTGTGCCCTGTCTGGGGTATTAAGTAGATACAGGTGGAAATTCTCTGATTTGAATCCTACCCAGGATGGAATAGTATTTTAAAGGGTGATAAATGAAAATTTAGGTGGAAATTCTAATTTATACACCATTTCTTTTCTTTTTTTTTGAGACAGAGCCTCAAGCTGTCCCCCTGGGTAGAGTGCCATGGCTTCACTGCTCACAGCAACCTCCAACTCCTGGGCTCAAGCGAGTCTCCTGCCTCAGCCTCCCAAGTAGCTGGGACTAACAGGCCACAACACCCGGCTATTTTTTGGTTGCAGCCATTATTGTTGTTTGGCAGGCTGGGCTAGATTCGAACCTGCCACCTTAGGTGTATGTGGCTGGTGCCTTAGCCACTTGAGCCACAGGCACCGAGCCTACCATTTATTTTCTTAGTGTGCTTTATAAATCAAGTGTTATTTTTGGAACAAAAACATGTGTTTTGTATAATTGGATGTGCTTATTAAATTATCAAGTTCGGTACATTGTACAGAAAAACAAAAACACCTTGGAAACATTATTTTCCCACTAATGATTTTTAGAGGGTTTTTCCCTCCATCAGGCTCTGATCTGTACTGGGCTTCCAGCAGAGAAGGCCATAATGTGATTAGATGCTGACCCACAGGCACCAAAGGGAAACCAGGCCTGAAAGGCAGCCAGCACATTTCATAAGACAGGAATCTACAGACAACCCTGAGCCCAGGGGTTCAGTAAGGATCCCCCAAGGCAAAATCCTGCCCCCAGAAGTTCATCTCTGGATGAGTCATTGTTTACTGCAGCTATAACACTGACCACTTATTTAGTGCCTTGTGTCAGGCATTCTTCTAAATCCCTCACCAACACCAAAATTCTTGCAAAACATTCCCTCCCATGGGGGCGGGGGGGTAACTGTTCTTATCCCCATTTTACAGATGAGAAAACTGAGGACAGTTTGACGATGCAAAAACTGAAGCACAAATGAGGAACTGAGGCACAAACCCAAGTGGTCTGATCTCGATCACCTTAACTACTATGCTCTTACCTACTTATTTTATAATGCTTCTGAAGTAATCCATATCATTTGTAGAAAAAAATAGAAAGTACAAAGGGAAAGGATTGTATCTCTTTCCAGAATTCTTTTTTCTTTTTTTTCTTTTTTTGAGACAGAGTCTTACTACGTCACCCTCAGTCAAGTGACGTGTCGTCACAGCTCACAGCAACATCAAACTCTTGGACTTAAGCGATTCTCTTGCCTCAGCCTCCCAAATAGCTGGGACTACAGGTGCCTGCCACAATGCCCAGCTATTTTTGTTGTTGTTATTGTAGTTGTCAGTGTTGTTTAGCAGGCCTGGGCTGGGTTTGAACTCACCAGCCTGGTATATGTGGCTGGCTATGTAACCACCGAGCTATGGGTACCAAGCCTCCTTTCAGAATTCTTATAAGCACACACATATATATTTCTTTTTAGCAAAAGTGGGAATACACTATGTAATATTTTATAACCATTTTAAAAATGTGTATTATGAACCTCTTCATATCAATAAATATGTATCTGTGTCATTTTAATCATTGCATAGCGTTACTCTATATGTATCTATCCTAGTGTATGTCATCACTACCCTATAATTGTATTTTTCAGTTGTTTCTTTAGAAACACTGGCATGGTGAAGACCATTACCCACATGCTTGTACATTTATCTAATTTGCTCCTTAGTATGAATTTTCAATAGAGGAAAGGTACATAAAGGTATGTACTTTTTTTGCTTTGTGTATGTGGTAAAATATACCTAACATAAACCATTTTAACTATTTTGAAGTATGTAGCTCAGTGGCATTGAGTATATTCACAATGTTGTGCAAACATCACTATTGTCTATCTCTAGAACTCTTTTTTATCATCCCAGACTGAAACAACGTACACATTACCCACAAACTCCCGTTCCCTTCTCTCCCCAGCCTCTGGCAATCATGCTTGTACCGGGTGGACATAAAGTTCGTGTGCAATTTAAAATGGCACACTATTTTAAATTGCACATGAACTTTATGGCCACCCTGTACTTTCTTTCTCTATGGAGTTGCCTGTTCTAGGTACCTCACGTAAGTGGAATCACACAGCATTTATCTTTTTCTGTCTAGTTTGTTTCACTTAGCATATCTTCAGTGTTCATCCAGATCATAGCATGCATCAGAATTTCCTTCTTTTTTAAGGCTGAATATTTCCTCGTATACAAACATCACATTCTGTTTATCCCTTCATCTACTCTTGGACATTTGGGTTGTTTCCACCCTTTGAGAATGCATATTTTTTAAAGGTCTTTGACATGCATTTCCAAATCGCCATCCAAAACTCTTGTACCAAGAATCTGTTCTCCCAGTAGCAATATAGGCAATCCCCAAGTCCGACATAGGTACAAGTCATTGTTATGAATGGAGGCTATTACAACAGGTGCCCAGGTTACAGAGATCTGACTGCCACAGAACTTGCACTTACAAATGGAGGCTATTACGGGTAATAGGTGAATGTACCTGTTCCAACTTACACACAAATTTAACTTAAGAACAAAACTACAGAACTTGTCTCATTCATAACCCAGGGACTGCCTATATGGGAGAGCAAAAGAGAAGAGTTTCTGTCTTCTGGCCCTCAGGGAATCACAACAAACCTCTCCACTGAGTCCTAAAGTCCTTTTGAACTCTGTGTTTGCCTTTCCAACCTAACACCACAGCATCGGTAAACACAGTGCTGGCACACCATTGACTCAGGTTTGAAATGCTTGGATAGTTCCAGGGGTGAGGCTGAGAGGCAATGTGCAGGGGAAGGGGTACCATGGCCAGAGGGCTCCCCATGCTAGCTGTGCAGAGACCCTTCCCTCTGATGAAGAAGGAGGCTTCCATTCTCTAATTGCAATGTAGACTTTGGCCCCAGAGAAGATGGGGTGACCTTGGGAGGCCTAGAGCTGGACCTCCCTCCAGCTGGGTCTACCCTAAAAGGGCAGGGGAGGAGGTTGGCTCTGAATCAAATATAGGCTTGCATCCATCCTGGGCTTCCAACACTCTGACGCTGCAAACATCCTCCCCTTAAAGTTTTCAGAGCCCTGGCTCGGGGAGGTTGCCCTGGTCTTCATCCTCTTGGTGTCTGCCCAGGCCATGAGCACAGCAGCCTGAAGATCTCTCATGGCGGTCTTTGAAAGGTACCTTGAAGCTGGTGAATTGTTTAAGATTTCCCTCCCAAGCTCTAAGTTCAGTATCTCTGTCACATGTGCTTTCCTAACTCTAACAGTCTGGATAATCAGAATTTCATAAAGCTCTCTTTTGGGTGAGTGACGATCTAGTTTAGCGGCTCCCTGTGTTTACTAATTAATAATCAATTAATTTTCCTGTATACATTAATAAAAATCATGTATAACTGCCAATCAAGGCTTATGGTCAATTATGGTTCAATTCATGCTTCAAGCAAAAAATGCCATATGGGTTAGTCTGTGTTGTCATGTCATCGCATAAATTCATCATTTAAGTTGTTGGAAAGAAGGAAACTGATTCCTGACCCTTCTTTACTACCATCCTATACCCGCCAAAGACCAGTGAACCCAGACTGGGCCTCCAAACCTCTTTTGTTCCCCTATGTTAAAGGCCATACAAGGATGGCCACATATCGTTCCCAGGAGTTAGTCTGGGACAGAGCTAATGTGAGGGCATCAGGAAGAGGGACAGAGATGCGACACCGCCTCATAGATGACCCAGCTTAGCTCACACCATCCCACAACCTCACAGGTACTTCTCTCTTTCTCCAGCTACCCCACAGCCAGGACAGAGGCCACAGCCACAGCAGAAGCCATCGGCAGGAGAGAAGACCCAGCAGCGGGACAGGGCAAGCAAGATGTGGTTGAGGTTGTGGGGTGAGTAGCAACCCAGGTTGCAGGGCCCTCCTGCTGCCGACTGCTCTGTGGCCTTAGGCAAGCCTTCCTCTACGCAATGAGGGCTCAGCCTAGGTCATCTTCCACTCTAGCTCTAACATCCTCTGTGGCCATGAAATGGTGGCCTGGCATGAAGAAATAAATCACCACCCTGTCACCTTGTCCCTCTTCCCCTGACCTCAGGCCCTGTGTCAGTCTCCCTGCCGTCTGGGGCACCACAGCCCGGATCCACCCAAGAAATCCTGTTATTACTTCTTTGGAGCCATGTGTTCAAGCACCTTGTGATGAATAAGTTTTAAAACACACCAAGATACATACATGCTCAGTAAATATTTGCCCAACTAAGTGTAAATAGTGTTTTGAAGAATTTTCTAAACAGTAGCTATCTCTAAATTGCTTCTTTTTACCTTCCTGGAATGTTTCTGATATTTACACACATAGAGTAAACACACACACCATATCTACAACAACAACAAAGGCAAAAGGCAAACGCGACCATCACAAAGGAACACATACTGAACATTCTATTTATATGAAACATCCCAAATAGGAAGATCCATAGACACAGGCAGCAGATCAGTGGTTACCAAGGGCAGGTGGAGAGAGGGGATGGAGAGCCACTGCCAGTGGGCACAGGGTTTCTTCTGGGGATGATGAAAGTGTTCTAAAATTGATTGTGATGGTTACACAACTCTAAATATACCAAAAACCACTGATGTGTACACTGAAAAGAAGGAATCTGGCCGCTCTCCACCATGACCCTACCAATTTTTACTAACAGAGCTAAAAAATAATCGAATTATATTTCTTTAATTTGAAAAAATAAATCATAGACATCATTTCTCTGATCAAAAATTGTTACTAACAGTGCTGAAAAATAATAAAATTATATTTCTTTAATTTGGAAAAACAAAGCATAGACAAGTTATCATTTCTCTGACCAAAATTCTTCAACGGCTTCCATCTCACTCAGCACAGAGCCTATAAGAGCTGACCCTGGTTACCCCTCTGATCTCACCCTGTCATTCTCTCCTCTCTTGTCCTGCCCCAGCTGTGCAGCCTCCCCACTGTGCCTCAGATGGGCCAGCTGTGCCCCCAGGATCTTTGCATTTGCTGCTCTTGGTGGGAATGTTCTCACCCCATCTCCATCCACAAGACTGTCTCCTTCTCCTCTGAGTCTGTGCTCAATGCCTCCCCACTCCCTGACCCAGACTCCCCATCCCCCTTCCCACCCCTGCACTTATCACCATTGAATGTATTTGTGTTCCACTATTAGTCTGCAATCTGCCACCCCTCCTCAGAATGCAGCACACAGATGTAACTAGGGCAGTGCCTGGCACATGTGCCTGCACCTGTGTTAGTTGAATGAATGAATGAATGAATGAATTAACGAATTCTACCAAAAACTAAAATTTATATAGAGTAATGAAGGAACTTATTAAGAACTCAGATCCCTTGGTTCTGTCCATCTCCTCTCTTTTTTTGTGGTGCTTTGAGGTGTCCAAGGCAAGGATGGGGCTGGAACTCAAGCTCAAGTCCTCCAACTCCACAAAGACCTACTTCCACTTTACCATACTGGCCAGGAAGGGCACTGCCCAGCTATCAGCTGCCAGGGCACGTCTCCCCACCCGCCTACCTCAAAGTGAACTCACCACCTCCATTTTTGTAGCAGAGATAGGGAAACCTCCAGACATTGCCCAGCCCAATGATCTCCCCGGCCACTGACAGCACAAACTCCATCTTGTTGGTCCATTGGCCCCGCTCCTTCACCTGGTCCTCGCCTTCCTGGTCCAACTTCTCTCCCTCCTCCGGGACCCAGGAGACCACAGAAGGCCCGTGCCCATGGGCTGCTTCTTTTTCATCCATAGCCATGCAGTGAGTGGGCAGGGTGGAGAGAGAAGCTCCGCCTAGGGGATGAAAAGGAGCAAGCTGTAAAGGCCCAGGTCCTGCCCTGCCATCCCTACTTGACCCATTCTAATCTCGGCTGTCAGAATACTGCTTTGCTTCTGAAACTTTTCATGGCATTTATACCTAAAGTTATACTTTGCTCATATGTCTATGAGAGCAAGTAGGGAGCAAATATTAGTTTGACGACTTTGCAGATGAGAAAATATAGGGCTTGACAGACTAAGTGACTTGCCTAAGATCATCTAGGAGTAGAACTCAGGTGAGAAGCCAGGCTTGGGACTTTCATTTCAAGTCTATTTTAATCTTTGCAATCAATCACCATCCCAGCTGGCCCATCTGCCCAGGTCCTCAGTCTCCAGAGTGACAGCAAACCAGCCTTTGTCCAGGCCAGAAGAGATCGAAGGGTGCTGGGGTAGCAGGGTTCAAAGGGCAGTTGTGGCCAAGGTGACTGTTCATCCCTGTGCCAAGGTGATTGACCAGCTTGGAGTAAACAGGAGAGCCAGAGATCTCAGGGCCTCCAATTGGAAGAAGAGGAGAAGGTGCAGCCTCTGACTAAGGCCAGATGGCACATAGGACTGGCACCAGGGCAAGTGGAGGTCTTTGAAGGAAACTTGGTCCTTTTCTCTCAGTTGCATCTCTGTCCTGAGAAAAGTTGGGCATCCTAATACCAGAAGGTATCCCCAAAGCAATCCCCACATGAGTGGTAGTCATGTCCAGATGACCCCCAAGGTGACAAACGATTGGGCCCCTCAAAGGAAGCCCAGGTGGCTGCCCATCACAGCAGGCCACTGCCCTCCTAAAGAGCCCAGAACTCCCTGGACTTCCAAAAATATGACGTGAGCCACTCTCACTTTTACCTCTGTCACTCTTGTCTGTTGGTCCCCAGGAGATAAACCATGTCAGCACCAGGTTGTACCTGGAACCCATGTTTGCCTTCTCCTCCCTCCCACACCCTGAGGCCACCTCTGCCTTTATTTCTGTGAAATTGCTGGGAGGAGGTGCCCCGGAGAGAAGCACGGGTCTGCTGCCCCTCACCTCTGAGGGGCATCGGGACAATCTAGTGACCAGGTCTACCAAGTGCTCTGTGCTCCTTGCAGGCTCTAGGGAAACACAAGGGATTCTTTTCATTAAGGAAGAGTCTGTGTTTATTTGTTGGTCCTTTTAACCCAGGCAACAGCCCAAGCCCAAGTCAGTTAGAAAGGCGTGGGCAGGAGCTATTTGAGGTTATGGAAATTTTTGAAGGTGACTTGGAGGGTGCAGGTTGTCCCAGGAATAGGAAAGCATGTCAGGGTGAAGTGTGGTATTGGGACCTACCCAGAGCCCTCCATTGCAAGCTCTGTCCGGGAGGGGAGATGAGGAGAGAGTCATTCCATGGAAATCAAAGGCCTTAAATCTCTGATAAAAGGGAGAAGGACAGGGAAGAAGGGAAGAATAGAGAGCTTCCAGGCTTAGAGTGTGCAGCCAGATTCTTAGAGGCTTTGAGAACCAGAGCCTGAGGCTGAAAGATCAGGGGAGGGGCACAGAGGAAAAGCTGGTGATCCCTGAACCCACACATGGATGTTGCTACAGAGTCAGGACTAAGGTACCCTGAGAAATAGCCCCCAAGTTCATTAAAACAAATGAATGAATTTGAAAACATCCATGATAAAAGTAGCAGACAGGTAATCCAAGTTCTAGTCTAGACCTAACTGCTCCTGCTAATAATAATAGGTTAACATTTGAGTAAACACAGTGCTGAAAACATACAAATCTTAATGTACGTTATTAAATTTCATCCTCATAAGCCATCTTTGAAGCAGGCATTACTATTAGCACCATTATATGTCTGAAAAAGCGACCTTGTGAGAGATTAAGGAACAGCACCCCCACCTAGCAGCTGCCCTTTTGAATGCTTAACTAGACTTACTGAGACAATAAATGGTAGAGGCCGATCACACATTGAGTGCTGCACCTCAGGCCGTTACACTTCCTCTCTGAGCTTTAAGTCTCCCTGGAAGAGAGAATAACCTCTACTCAATAGGGGCATGGGGAGGGGGTGTAAAAATGAAACTCATTAAAGAGAAGGAGAAATCATTGCCTTTGCTTGCCAAGTCATAGGGTAGCTTAGTTCAGGGAAAGCCCCAAGCACCAGGGACCCAAGGGAGCAGTCAGGAGACAAGCCTGACTGTCCCCAGGCCAGAGGTGGTCTCCAGAGTTGGAGGAAGGGAGACGTGGTGGGAAAAAGAGTAAACAGAAGAATGACTGAAGGAGAATGGGGTGGGGGGCAGGGACACAAATCACAGAACATAGTTTGTGCCCCCGATTTGGGTCATATCAGGGATAGGGGATGAGACAAAAAAGAACAGAAACTGATGAACTGACACTGATGCATTGTTTTTTTAATAAAAAGCTTATTGGGAGGAGCATACCTTACAGGTAAGAATGAAAATCCAGAAAGGCAGAATGAAAGTGAGAGCAAGTGAGAAGGAAAGCTGGCCCAGAGCCATGGCAAGTCAAGGGGAAACAGGCTTAAACTGCAGCAGGAGGGATTTAAGTTAGACTCAGGGAAGAAATGTCCTGGGGGACGTTAGACATCAAAGCAAGCCATACTCAGCTCTCCTTTCTGGGTTACTCTTAAAAGCCAAAAGGACAGAACACTCCACCCCCACAGCGCCTCTAGCCCACCTGCTTTACTAAGCTGGGGCAGGGGATGGACCTTGCCATACCTCAGTGCCCCCCAGAAGCAAAGATACCGATACCAACACTGGGTTCAATGCTGCCCATGGAGGAAATCTTCAAGAGCTGGGCACACAGACAGAGGCCTGGCCAGGGTCTAGCAGAGGAGCAGATAAGTCCAGAAACCCTGCTCCCCAGGGGACCAGGCTCCCCAATCTGACATAGGAAGGGCCCAGCCCCTGGACACAGGGGACAGGACGCCCCAGCCCACACCCACATACCAGCACTCGTTCCTGAACACACACTGGTGCCATTCCCCGTCACGTCCCTTTGCACACACATACCTGTGTGCACGCCACCAAAACCTGGCTCCGTCTGTAGTCCTTCACACCCCGTGGGCTTCCTGGCTCGCCTGGTGGCCACCTGTGCCTCCCCTCAGCTTCCTCACTGCCCTCCTTGGGCACAAACACCCCATGCCTTCCCACCAGCCAGACAGTCCCCTCCTTCTGGGAGACAACTGGCTCCTGGCTGGCTGTGCAGGGCAGTAGGTGGAGGGCAGGAGCCCCTCACTATGACCATTAATTGCAGACCTGTTTTCTCCCCTGTACTCCTCCTTCCCATCTCACTGGCACTGTCTGCTCCCCCTTCCCTCGGGTCAGGTTACCACCCCTCTCACCCACTGCCCATGGCCAGGTCCCCTCTGTGGACTTTCCTGCGACACAGGCTCATCTCTGAGCATCTCCCACACTGGATGGGAGAGGGAGCTCTGGCAGCACCCTTCCTCCAAGATTCTTGACATCAGCCTTTCTTCTGGCCAACTTGTTGCACACCCAGCTCCCAGCACAGATTTACTGAACTTTGCAAGTCTTGCCTACCCCCCCCCACCCACCCATGCTCTAGCCCCTCTCACAGCCAGCACCCGACTTCCTGCTCACCTTTGTCTCCAACTCCTGGCCCTGCTGTCAGCTCAGCCCCAGGCATGCGTCTTCAGGGGAGTCTCAGGGAAGTCACTTAGGAGAATGACACCAGAGACAGGGCCTGAAAGGGAAACTGTCCTCTGCCTTCCCTCCCTTCCCTACTCCTCCCAGCACAGGATCCCATCAGAGTCATCCAGGGACTCCCAGGCAGAGAGTGACCCTGTGTGTGTGTGTGAATGTGCTGGGAAGTGAGGGACAGAGAAACACCACAAGCAACAGGAGGGACTGATGCCAAAAGTTTGTGAACTGAGATTACAACACCCAACCTCAGGACATCAAGTCTCCTGTCCCCAGCCCCCCCCAGCCCCATCCCACAGTGCCCCCCTCCCTCCAGACAGGGACCTCCAGTAGGCATGGTCCCAAAGTGACCCTCAGGTAGGGGAAGGGGCTCAGAAACTCACACCCTACCCCCAACTGCTGCTCCTGTCCTGGCCCTTCTCTGTCTCAGGGAGGAGCGTGGGGGTGCACAGGCAGGGTACACCCCTCTCTTACCGGAGCAGCAGATAGGAGCCACCAACTCCCAGGCTGGAAACTCCTGGGAGGGGAGCTGGCCTCACTGACGAGGGCAGGGGAGGAGGGTGAATCACACACTGGAGTTTTCCATCAGTACCTGCCCTCTGTGGCTTCAAGGCACTAGTCTAGGCTGTCACAACCACGACACTTCTCTTTGGGATTTTCCTAGAAAAGCACTCAGAGCACCTCTCAAGAAGTATAATGTAGAAAGGACACAGGTTTACAGTCAGACAGACCCAAGTTTCAACCTCTCCTCTATTATCTGTCAGTCAGGTCAGCTAGGTAAGGGTCTGAGCCTCAGCTTCCCCATCTGTCACAGGAAGATAACAGTACAACCCCTGCTTTGTCATGAGGGTTAAAGATCATATGGTATGCTTAGGGCATCACAGGTGCTTAAGAGGAGTTTCTAGTGTTTGCCATTGGTCCTCTGCACACAGGGGAAAGGAGAGTGGAGTGTCCAGCCCGAGGCAGCACTAGTGATGCTCTCATCCCCTCTCACCACTAAGCATCTAGCCAGGGTCTATCTGGAACAGCCTGGCAGCTGTCAGGGGTGAACAGTGTCTGTTGGATAGATGCGCCCTGTGCCATGTGCCCAGTGAGCTTCTCCAGAACATGTCCCTCATCGCTGCCCCAGGTGTGCCCATGTGGGGGTAGGCACAGCACCGTCCCACTGCCCTTTGTTCAGAATAGCCACGGTCTCCTGAAAGACAGAGATGTTTCTTCAGCTGCAGGTGGTGTGCAGGGAGGGGAAGTAATGGGGAGAGAGGGAAATTTCCCTTTACATGTGCTTCCTCTTTGTGCTTTAGAATTTCCCAACAGGGGTGGGGTGTGAAGTGAGAATCATATCTGTAGTTTTCCATCAAGCAACCCCCCTCAATGTCTCTCAGGCCCCTCTCAGCATCTCCTGGGGGATTCCCCATCAGGAGCTAGCTAGAGCATGTCACAGTTCTCAGACAATTGCCTCTGTGAAGCCAGAAGTCCAGTGAAGGTCAGCTGGGATTCACATGCATTGAGGACAGGGTAGCCTGTCCCTACATGCCAGTCCACCATGGAAGGACCAGGGAGCTTACTGCAAAAGTCCATGAGATTACCCAGTTGCAGTTAGAACAAAATACCAGCCACTCCATAAAAAGAAGAAAGGGGGAAGAGGGTCAGGCCGGGCAAGAGGACGAATTTCTTTTTTTGTTCATTCATTCAAAATTTTTATTTAGGGCCTATAGGGCAACCTGCTTCCCTCCAAGACATGGGAATGCTGAGGTGAACACAAGGGCCCAGCAGTCCTGTCACCAATCCTTCACCATGTAGGAGAAGGCTACCTTGTCTGAGCTGGCCCAGGGAATGGAGTTTGGTTTTCCTGAGAAAATATCTGCCCTAATCTTCCCTGTCTTTATCCAATTACCTCAGACCTTGGTCTTCCCATCTTTACATTGAGCCCACCCTTATTCAAGTCTCCTCCAGTACCCGAAGCCCCAACACCCACTGAGTATTCAGACCAATTGGTAAACTCCTAGTGGGCAGAGACCCCCATCATTGCAAAAGATAGGAGTCCTAGAAAGTCTAGTGAAGACTGGACTCTTCCCACACAGGAGGCATCTAGAATCAAGACAAAATATGGTAAGTGAATCAGTTGTCCATTACTAAGGACTAATGGATTCCAGAAGATGTTCTCATCACCCTCATCTCCTAACCCCTGAGTGCCTTGAGAGGACCTGGCAAGGGACTTATGTACCAAGCATCAAACTCAGACTAGGAATTTCACATTTAAGAACCCTGGGGATTATTAGCCCCATTTTATAGATGAGAAAACTGGTATGAACAGAAGCTAAGTGATTTGTCCCAAGCCATGCAGGAGTAAGTGATGGAGCTGGGATCTGGGCCTGTTGGTTCTGATAATCCATACTTGTTCCAGTGTAGCATACTGTTTTCCAGACCACAAAGGTCTAAAGGGCACGGGTCTTGTTTCTTAATACTTTGTATCTACCTCTAGCATTTAATACAGTGCTGTCTCAGAGCAGACATTCAGTATTTATTGGATAGATGGATGGATGGATGAATGGATTCAGCTTGAGGGGGAAAAGAATGATCCCAGTGCTTCCTTTTCTGGAAGGGCAATGTTCTCCCAGAACTGGAGGATAGAAGAGGCTGAGGGGACTCAGGTCCTGCTTTTCTTGGACAGCATTGCTGTGCCAAGCAGGACCACAGGATGTAGGATTATTTAGGGCTCCCTCTCCCTTGGGTCCTAGCAAAAATGCTTAGCTCAGTAAATGAGTGGCTTCCTTCCTGGGGCCCTAATGTCTCCTGCTGGGGAAGCTAGGGGCCGTGGGGATCTCTAAACATGTCTTGGGCTTTTTTGTTATCCTGACAGCCCAGTCAGCTGAGGCTGGAGCTATGGGAAGTAGGATGGACTTGTTTGAAAATGTCCGCAGGGCCGTTGTGCCCATACCCTCTACTGTACTCTCACAACACTGTGATTTAAGTAGTAGTATCCCCATTTTATAGAGAAGAAAAATTAGGATCAGAAAGGTTAGCTTGGCCCAGGTCACACAGCTAATAAGTAAAAGGGCCAGCACCCCAGCCAGGACTGCAAGCCCCTATAAAAAAGTATGCTTGGCTGATTGTAGTGTCTGAGTTTGTGCACATTTACCTGAGAGTAACAAGGGACTGGGAAAGCGTGCACATATGGGTCTGAGACTTTGGTATACTTGCAGCAAGGTCTGAGGCTCCAGGGCAGCCTGGAGGGCTTAGCTTCTAATCAGCAACTTCCCTGCAGCGCCGGGCTGCGCCTCTAACTCTCCAGTTACCTGTGCTGCTCTCTCCCCATTCTGCTGGTGCTGCCCCAGGCTCTCCCTGTCTGCCTTTCTTCTCCAACAGACAAGAGAGGGCTCCCCTTCCTTTGTGTCTTCTTCCCTGAGAACTGCAGGATCCTATGAGTTTCCCTTCCAGGCAGGGAAAGCGGTGACTGGCTGCCCTCTTCCACCACCACCATCACCTCTCTACCCTCACTACTAAAGCTTCATCCCTTTCCCCAGCCTGGCCCACCATCATCAACATTTCCCACATCTCCGCCTGCTGGGGAGTGCTTTGCTGCCTTGGGCCTGCAAAGTAGCCATTGATCCATTCACATACTGCCAGTGCCAGGCGGTGGTGGGCAGCACACACAGACACAGTTTTGGAAGTGGGGGCCGGCCAGGACCCAGCAGGGAAAAGTGGGCAGGAAAGAGCAGCCACTAGGCATTCCTCTTCCTGTCATTTAGCTGAGCTCAGGTCTCCTTCAGGCCTCCTTCAGTCTCATTTAACTCCACAGCATAGAGCAGGAGGGTAGGGGTTCTGGGGAGAGGCGTGACAGCCTTCTCTGGTCCAGATCCCTCCCCCATCCTCCTCCACACCTATGCTCAGTGGGCTGCCAAGTGAACTCAGTGGAGGAGGTGGATTCTAAGAGTGGGGAGGGGTCAAGGCCACAGGTAGAGGGGCAGAAACCAGACACAGCTGCTGGCAGTCAGGTGGAAGAAGGTGGCTTTAATGGAATGCAGGGTCAGAGGGCCTGAGGTCAACAGTGCTCTCACCCCTCCAGCCCTCACCCAGCTCCCCAAGGCCTGTCTCAAAGGATGCTCTTTTTTTTTTTATTTTCCCAAAGGACGCTCTTAAAACCAGCATTTCACATTTCCTCTAAAGTAGGGAAGCTGGGGTGGGGGCCCAGCTCAGAAGCCAGACTCCAAGATATCCCCTTTTGTTTTATCCACCCCAGGTGATGACTGCTTTGGCCAGTACCTCCTGCAGCTGGCCCCACAGCCGGCCCCACAGCCAGCTCACAGTGCCATCTGGAGGCCTGCCCCTAGCAATGGGACTCTAGTTCTGTGAGTGTGAGTAGTGAGGTCTGGGGGGTGGCAGGCACAGAGGATCCTGCTTGGTTCCGTTGGGGCAGATCCTCAGCTGGGCACACGAGCTGGCGGATTCTCTGCAGGCAGAGTGGAGGTGGCTGTCACAAATGGCATGGGGGTAGAGCTGCCAGCCTCCCATCACCATGTCTGCCTCCTCCCCACACATAGGCCAACTGCTCCAGGAGCCAGCCCTATCATCACAGCCTGTGTCCTGCAGTCACCAGCCTCTTCCCGAGACCTCTCAGCACTACCCACACTGTACACTGGCCCTCCGCATACCAGCCTCTAACTGGCTGGCGATGCTTAGGCTCCCAACCCTCTGGCTGCTTCCCCTGCTAACTCCCTACCTCTCTGAAGGGGCCTTTGAGGGTGCCAAGTTTGTAGAAGCTCCAGGAGGGGATGCAGACCATAGAGGACAGAGCCAGGAGCCAGCCAAGGGCATCTCCCCACCACGGGTATGTGTACTTCTTGTTGTAGGTCAGCGGGGTGTACTTGATCAGGGAGAAGAGGAAGGTGGCCTAGGGGTGAGGGTGGAAAAGAAAGGGGCTGGGGTGGGGCCCTGTGCCATCGGCTCTCCCTGCACCACACACAGAGCAGCTAATAGAGATCACACTCCAGGCCTCCGATCTCCAACCACACTGTGCTCACAATGTACACCCCGTCACCTCAGGGCCTCTGTGTCCCTGGGCACTCTACACAGGGTTGGCTCCCAATTAGAACATGGTGATGTGCCTGCTGGGGGCTTTGAAGTATTTGCCTCTCCTGCACCATGAGTTTGGGCTGTAAGCATCTCAAAGGCAGGGATCATACCCGTTTGTCCCCCATTCCTCATTTATACCCTGCACACAGTGGCGGCCTGGGGAACTGCTAACACAAAGCTAGAGGAATCAGCACATTGTGACTTAAGACTCAGACCCTGGAGCTGTGCTGCCTGGGTTTGAAACCTAGTTCTCTACAACTGTCTGGGTTGAATAAGCTGCTTAAATTCCATAGCCTCAGTTTCATCTGTAAAATGACTAGTATAACAAGCACGCTCACATCATGGACTTTGTGAGAATGAAATGACTTAGTGCATGTAAAACACTGTGCTCAGCACAGGGAAAGTGCTCTGTGACTGTCGCTGTCATCACTGCACTGGATATTAGTATTAATATGAGCCACCCGGCACACTTGAGTATCTGTTCTGCCTGTGACATTAGATTCCTACTGCAGTGTCAGTAGAACTGCCTGACAGTGCTGGAACTCAGTTTATGCTTCTGTGAAATGGGAAGGAAAAATCTGTCTTGCTGTAATGGTCTAGAACCCAATAGGAGGCTGAACAGAAATCGAAGATGATTTTCAATTCCGAGGGAGAAGTCCATCTGAGGGCTAATGGCCTCTCTATCCTGATGCTACCACCAGCTCTCCCTCCCTTCATCTGGCGCATCCCTGGGGATTATCTTACTGTGCACACAGCTGGTGTGAAGAAGAGCCAACAGTATTTGATAAGAGGCCATGGCCTGTACCCAATCATATCTTCAATGTTGTCATAGAAGCGCTTGGCCCCTACCATGGAGAAAAGAAGGGAGGGGGAGAAAGGTCATTCTCCAGCGACCAGTGGATCAGGATGGGGCCACATGCAAACTAGGATGGGTGGGGATCGGCAGACAGAAGACATCATGGTAGTCTTTTCAAATCATCAGCAGCAGGCAGAACTTGACCCAGGTAAAGGCAATAACTTCCTGATCACCAGGGGTGTGAAAAGCTGAAAAGGTTTGGACAGGATAAGACATGGGCCCCCCTGAGGTGGTCTAGGTGCAGCTACACCCAGGGTCTTCTGGAGGGCCCTTCCAATGGTAGCAACTTAGGATTCTCAAGATGTTTGAGATTGAGTAGAGGAGTAGTCCCCACAAAAGGTAGGTGTGAGCAGTAGATGTCTCTCTTCTGTCCAAGGGCCCTGGGGTAGAGGAGAGTACTGGGGTTGAGCTCAGGGTAGTCATCACTCACCATAAACCCAAGCCACACAGAGGGACTCAAAGATGGCCACAAACAGGAGGCACATGCCACTGGCTGCATAGTAGTCAAAGAGCTGAAACACGTACATACCGCCCTATGCAGGAGGAGATTGTAAAAAAAGGGAGTTTAGGCGTGGTGCCTGTAGCTCTAGCAGCTAGGGCACCAGCCACATACACCAGGGCTGGCAGGTTCGAACCCAGCCAGCTACAATAACAACAACAAATAGCTGGGCATTGTGGTGGGCACCTGTAGTCACAGCTACTTGGGAGGCTGAGGCAAGAGAATTGCTTAAGCTCAAGATTTAGAGGTTGCTGTGAGCTGTGACGCCTCAGCACTCTACCGAGGGTGACATAGTGAGACTGTCTCAAAATAAAAGGGCGGGGGAGTTTATCCAGAGGAAACAGACAGATCCACCCCTATGCCCTTGAACCTGACACCTCTGGGGCACAGAGAGGAGTCAGTGAGGATCAGAGGAGACAGATAGTAAAAGAGAATGTGATTCGTACACTGTGAAGTGCTAGGCTTGTATGAGATGCTCATCTGTATTATAGATTTTGGATGGAAGATAGATGAGATCAGAGAACATTTAGGATTGAGCCAGAAGCCCAAGACATAGTGTGCTCTGGGATTGTCACTGGTACTATTGAGCTGAAAAGCTCTATCTCCTCCCTCCCGCACAGAATATCACCCAGCCCCAGCGCTCCCTTTCTCACTGTGAACTTTGTACATAGAACTTGGCTCCGCTCCCTGGAAATCATGGGATCTTGCTGGGAAGGCCATTTTCCCCAATCCAAGACACCCCAACCATCACCTCCACACCTCTTTTCTTACCAGGGAGCCAAATTACCCCTAACTTAGCCCCAGAGGCAGGTGCCCAGTGCGGGAGACCAGAGAGGAACTTGCCTCCTTATCTTTTCTGCAGTGGGAGAAAAGGAGTCCGAGTGCCCAGAAGGCCAGAACCCTGCCCCGTGGCCTGAAGCCAGGACATCCACCCCACCTGGCAGGGGTTGCCACTTGGCTCCTCCTCCTCAC